ACTCCCCAAATTATCTACAAATTTAGTGTAATCCCTATTAAAATTCGAGTTGGCTTTTCTGCAGAAATTAAAAACCTGATCGTAAACTGCATATGTGAATGCAGAGGAACCTGAATAACAAAAATAAATTTGAAAAAGAGAAAAGTTGGAGGACCTCTATTTTTTAATTTAAAACTTACTATAAGCCTTCAGTAATAAAGATTTTATACTAGCATAACCATAGACCTAGAGATAATAGAATAGAGTTGAAAATCCAGAAATCTGGATTATAGATTTCAATGTAAGAGCCAAAACCATGTAACTCTGATAAGGAAACATAGAAGTATATCTTTGTGACATTGGATTAGGCCATCACATCATGAAATGGTTTCATAGATATAGCCTCCAGAGCACGAGTGACACACATACACACAAAAGATAAAATGGATTTTGTTGAAATGAAAAAATTATACCATCAAGAAAGTACAAAGACAACCCATGGAATAAGAGAAATATGTACATCTTATTGTATCTATTAAGGGATTTGTATTCAGAATAAATAACTTTTACAATGCAATAATAAAAAATAAATAACTCAGTTAAAAAAAATCAGTGTAGCATCTGAATAGACATTTCTCCAAAGAAGATATAAGAATTGCCAATGAATACATAAAAAGATGCTCAACATCATTAGTCATTAGGGAAATGCAAATAAAAATCTCAATACGATATCACTTCACTCACTAAGATGGCTAAAATTAAAAAAAAAAGACAGATAATAAATATTCGCAAGGATATAGAGAAATTAGAATTCTAATATATACCCGATGGGAATGTAAAAGTGGTACAGCCATTTTAGAAAATAGTTTAGCAGTTCCTCAAAAAGTTAAGAATTGAGATACCATATGACCAGTAATTCCACTCCTAGGTATATTCTCAAGATAAATGAAAAGAGGCATCTCCACAATGTCTTGTAAGTGAATGTCCATAGCAGCAATATTTGTGATAGCCAAGTAAGTAGAAACAACACAAATCTGTCCATCTGCTGATTAATGGATAGACAAAATGTGGTATATTCATACAGTGGAATATTTTTTGGTTGTAAAAGGGAATGAAGTACTGATACATGCTACAGCATTGATGAACCTAACAAACATCATATCAAGTGAAAAGTCAGTGACAAAAGACCATCTACTGGATGATTTTATTTAGTGTAGAAATGTCCAGAATAGGAAATCCATAGAACAAAATGTAGATTGTTGGATTTTGGGGATGGGAGTATTGATGGGTAGAGGGTAGTTAGTGATTGCTCATGGGTTTTTTGTTTTGTTATAACATTTTTTGAGTTATGCCATAAAATTAGAATGTTGTGATGGCTCTACAACTTCTCAAATATACTAAAACCATTGAATTGTATACTTTAAATAGATATATTTTATGTTGTGTTAGTCATATTTCAGTAAAGTTCTTTTAGAAATTAATCCATGCTAATTGTAGAAAAGTTAGAAAATACCAAATACTATAAAAAGGAAAAAATAATCTTTACTGTATTTAAAAAATCTTTTTGTGGGGAGAGATTATGAATCACTCATATACAATTTAGTTTTCTGCTTTTTTAATTAAACTGAGAATGTATTGGAACTTCTGGCTCAATCATTGTTTATTTATCCATTCTCCTGTTGCTGGATTTTAGCTTCTAGTTCATATGCAATTTAAAAATTTTAGTTTATTTATATAATGTGCATTCCTAGCATAAACTTTTATATGGATTTTGAATATTTCCTTAGGAAAGAATCTTGGTAGCTGTATTAGTTTCCTAAGGCTGCCATAACTGATTACCCAAATTGACTGGCTTGAATCAACAGAAATTTAGTCTCTTACGTGGTTTTGGAGACCAGACATCTGTAACCAAATGATCTGCAATGGTGGCTCCTTCTGAAGGTTCCGAGGGAGAATCTATTCCATGCCTTTCTACTAGCTTCTAGTGGCTGCCAACAATCTTTAGTGTCTCTTGGCTTGTAGATGGATCACTGTAATCTCTGCCTCTGCCTTCTCATCTTCTTCTCTTTGTGTCTTTTTCCCCTTTTCTTCTTTCATAAGGACACTCACCATTTTATAGAGGGCCCACCTTAATCCAGGCTGATCTCATCTCACTTAATTTTTCTAAAGATTCATTTTTGAAGTAAGGTCACATCCACAGATCCTTAGTCTACCATTCAACCCACTATGGAAGCAGTGGCATATCAAAAGGACAGGAGGCAGCTGTGGGAGTGGTATGCCCTGTGTGTAGGCAAAACGGGGGAGCATTGTATAGAGAATTGGAAAAAAACAAAAAACAACAAAAAACCGACTGAAACTTGGTCTGCTTTTTATTATCATCTTGCACTGGCAGTTCTAAATATTGTCAGTGATAAAAATATTTCTTCTGAGCTGGGCTTGGTGGCTCAGCCTGTAATCCCGCGCCTTGGGAGGTTGAAGTGAGTGGATTGCCTGAGCCCGCGGGTTTGAGATCCGCCTAGGCAACTTGGGGAGACCTCACCTCTACAATAAAAAATAAAAATAAAAATAAAAATTAGCTGGGCGTGGTAGTGTGCGTGCCTGTAATTCCAGCTACTTGGAAGGCTGAGGTGGAAGGATCGCCCGCCGGAGCCCAGCAGGTCAAGGCTGCGGTGGCCAGGAGCAGCCACTGCAGTCCAGTCTGGGCGACAGAGTGAGACTCTGACTCAAAAAAATATATATATATTTCTTCTGGCTGGGTATGGTGGCTCACATGCCATAGTCTCAGCACTTTTGGAGTTCAAGGCAGGAGGATCACTTGAGGCTAAAAGTTCAAGATCAGTCTGGGTTTTTTCTTTTAAAAAACAAAAAACAAAAAAATAGCTGGACCTTGATGGCACTTGCCTATAGTCCCAGCTACTAGAGACTGAGTGGGAAGATCACTTGAACCAAGGAGTTTGAGACTGTGGTGAGCTATGATTGTGCCACTGACCACCAGTCTGAGCAATAGAGAGTGACCTTGTCTCTAAAAAAAAATACAAAATAATAATTTTAAAAAATTCTTTCTAGTCGTATTGACTAACTGTTCCCTTTGCCCTACCTGCCTGCATATGTGCTCTACTGGTTGGGAGCGGGATTGCTTGGTGAAATAATGTGAGTCTTTCTAATTCTCAAGATACACACTTTCAACTTATTATCTAGGGTCCAGGATTATATAATCCTACCAACTTTTTATGAAATGATAAAAATATGGTAATAGTATTATAAATAAATGTGCTTATTTGATTGGTAAAAAGTATTTTAATCTTTGCTACTAGTATAATTGAATATGCTAAGTTTTGTCTTGGTTATTTGTTATCTAGTTTTATTAAACTTTCAATGCCTTTGTCAACATTTCTGTTAGACTCTTCGAATGTGTTTCTCTTATTGATTTGTGAGAACTCTTTATTTAGTAAAAATATGGGGCCTCTATATCATTACATATGTTTGCCATTTTGTTTCTTTTACTTTCTTTAGATAATAGATTATTTTAATTTTTATATAGACTTTTCTTTGTTTCTATTTATTGCACACCAATGTTTGTTTTTTAACAACTGGCAACTCTTACGCTACAGTGAGAATGGGAACAAAATCAGATTGTTGCAAATAATAATAGATCTACGAAAAGTTTCTATGAAGAGAATACTGAATTTTTAAAAATGAAAGTATAGAAAAGATTTTGTTTCCTGTATCATATAGGTAATATTACCTGCAAGCTATTGCCATGGAATCTGAGCTATTCGAGGAAGCAGCACCATCTGTTTCCAGCCCCTCATTTTACAGACAGGAATCAGAAGCCTAAAGACTTTGGGTGATTTGTCTGAAACTAGGACAAAAATAAAGATCATTGAATCTTAATCCAGTGTTCCTGTAAAACTCCATGTCTATTTCTCTTATTTGATGTATTAGCTAAATTTCGGAAATGCTTTTTTTCCCCTATAAAGTATTTGTTTGCATTTTTCCTTATTACAAAGATACCACATGTTAATTATAGAAAAAATGAAGAAAATTCATGTAGATTTAAGAAGACATTCAAGGACATTTTGGGGCCCACACACTTCTAGAAACAGCAACTCTTAACATCATCGTATACCCTTGATATGTCCTTCCTTACCATTCTCTCTCTCTCTCTTTCTCTGTCTCTCTCAGTGTGTGTGTGATTATATAATATTTTATATTTTATTTTATAACTTGAATGTTTTATAGTGATGATAGATGTATGTGTTGATTATTTTAATGACTGCATAGTATTCTATCAGGTGGATATGGTCTACTTCATTTGGTAATTTATCAATTGTATACTTAGCTTACTTCTAATTTGTTGCTTTTATGTTGCAATTATAAACACTGGATATCCTTGAATATATTTTATTGCATAATTTTCTTAGCACAGTAGGATGATTTTCCTCTGTACAATTTCTTTATGAGAATTTAGAATTTTGATTTCCATGAAAGAATTACTTTTATTGTTAAAAAGTTATAGTATGGTCAAATTAAATATATATATAAAAGAAGAGAGAACATTATAGCAGACTTCCACTTACCTATCCCTGAATTCGTTTCTAAAATGTAGATTCACTCTGACCTCTAAGAGGATACTATATTTTCAAACAATATGTGTCTGTCTCTTTAGAGAGTCTTTCTTCCTTGATATGCACCTACTTTGCTTTGTACCTACTGAATGCTGGGTCCTGTGTCTACCTTTTTTATGTCATAAATTCTCCTTTATTCCTCTTATCTGTTTTAAGGGCTATTTTGATTTACAGATGAAGAAGGTGAAAACTGGATGAATCAGGAAGCACAAAGTTCATCATGTGGTAGCACCTGAGTTCCAACCAGGGTGACCAACTTGCCTGGGTTTGTCTGGTTCTGTCCTGGAACCTTGAAGACTGAGAAAGAAGAATTAATTATTCCTGAAAGAGCTTGGCTTATCCTTGGATTTAGAGTGTTTATATCCACCTCATGTTGAATATTTTATTTTTCAGGCCTCTTCATGTGCTTGTGTGCAATGCGGCGGCTTTTGCTCTACCCTGGAGCCTCACGAAAGATGGCCTGGAGACCACCTTCCAGGTGAACCACCTGGGCCACTTCTACCTTGTCCAGCTCCTTCAGGATGTTCTGTGCCGGTCGGCCCCTGCCCGTGTCATCGTGGTCTCCTCTGAGTCCCATAGGTGGGTTAGAATTGGATGATTTTTCATGTGTCTCCTTTCTTACTTCAACTACCATTTTCTCAAGGCTCTCTTTCTGAAAATAAATTTGATTAGTCCTACTCTAAGAAGTGTGGGTATGCTCCCCCTGATTTTTTCATTTTTTCCAGGTCTTTTTTGTGTGTCTGTGTGATCGTGGGGGCTGTTTGGGGGGACTGTCTAGAGCAATGTAGATTGTTTTTACAACTCTACTTGAGGTTCTTCATTGATTTTGCTTAGAGATGGAATAATAATTGATTAAATCTGAATGGCATGACCTTTATTGATTTGTAATTCAACAACTTCAACATCTTACCAAGAAGAATGTGCAGTTATTCTAGCAGGAGAAACAATGCAATTAAAGACTGCGAGATGAAATCCAATTGTTTTATAATGAGAAATTAGGGAATTCAATGCAGACATTAGCTGTGTAATTGTAGAAAGGGAAGCACTGTAGTTAGAGCATATTAGAAATCTGGCCATGCCTCTTTTGGTTAAAATTTCAATTAAAACATCAGATGGCACTTCTTTTCTATTACCATTAGGAGAATATTCAATTGACTAAAAAGACATTTGAAAATTTCATCGTATTTTCAGCATATTTGTTTCTAGAGTTGGATAAACAACTATTTGTCTAAAGAGAACTACTAGGAAAAGACAAAGGACTTGCTGGGTGAGGCTAGATTTAAGTCTTGCTGGGGAAATTTCTCATTCACGTTTTCTTGGTGTGGGGGATCTCGGGGGTCCAAGAGAGCTTTCATTCCTAGCAGAGTAGCTAGGAAAAAAAATGTGCAAGGGCCTATTTTCTTTCTCCTTCTTCTCCGTCTTAAGTCCTGAAATGTTTTAGTGACCCAGAATGAAGCTTATTTTTTTAATCATACTTCCATAAAATGTAACCCCTGGGACTTGGAAGAGAGAGACCAGCCAAGGGTTAGCTTGAACCCTTTATCACTCCCAAACACAGGGGCTTATGGTATAAGTGACACACTGCAGATAGATTTACTTTTGCCATTTTAAATTTATGATGGCTGCAATGAAAGGAAAATGCCAGTAATAATCCTCCCCCGTGTTAAAAGACATGAAACATCTAGTAATTAGGTGGTAACAAAATCTGGACAGCCTTATCTTTGCAAATCACACCAGGTTTGTGAAAGAAAGTGGAGTGGCCCTGTGAAGCACCCTGGGAGGCTACTGCGGGGGCAGGCGGGGGAGAGAGTTCCGGAAATAAATCTGCCAGCCCCAATCATTTACCAGATGTGAAGGGCACCACAGGATATGTTTAAATGAGCTGGTATTTAATGGGAGATTATGTCGAATTGTCAGCTGCTCACTTCGCTTTGTAAATCTGTATCTCAACTGGTATTTCATGTGACATCTTTGTTCTCTCCTTAACTACAGTGTAATTCGTGCCTACCTACCTTGGAGATCGGAATCTTAATTTCATTTAAAAGATGCATTTGGAAGGAAGGGCTTTGGTCTTCCTATCCATCTGAGTTTATAGACAAGGCCTTTCTGAAATGTGTCAGGCCCATTCCCGTCTGATGACTGGCACTGGTTTTCTGCTTTCTGATTATTCTTTGCACATTGTTGAAGGATATTTCTACAAAATGTGAATTCCCCCAAGCTGGCTCGTGTATTACACTAGTGCTGCATCCCTCGGCACTGGGGGGCGAGTGTGGCTACTCGCCGTACATGCAGTACATGGAAGCAGTTGTTCCCTATCCAAGGATGCAGGGCCCTAAACCATGTTGTAAAATGCAAGTGTTGATATCTAATTACCTCCATAAACCTTGGCGGAATCTCTTCGTTGGAGTCAAGACCCCCTGTTAGGGGAAAAATAAAGTCCTATGTTTGCAGAAAATATTATACTAGACTGCCCCAAGGCAAAATATTTATTAGCCTTCCTGTGTCTTCACTATGTTTTAGTTACTCATCTGGAGTCTGAGCAAGTGAATTGAGTTTTCACATACCTAAAATACATCATATGGAAATGAGAGCTTGACTTCCTTGCTGGGAAAAAATTTCAGATAACAATTAAAATAGAATAAAAAGAGCAGAGCCCTGACTGAACAACTTCAATGTCTGCAGCTGTGCTGAGTGCCAAATTGCTACACACACACACACACACACATACACATATACACACACTCTCACACACACACAATCTCATACAGGCACAATTTTTGATGCAAATTCGCTTTTATTCTTTGAACGTACTAGTTTTTGCCTACATAAGTCTAACCTGATTATTTTAGTTTGGTGAATTTAAAAAATCCTCAGTTAAAAAAAAATAATACAAACACATACACACACACTAGGGAGATCCCCTTAGAAAGAAAATGTCAATGTCCACAGAACGAATGTTAATATTTTAATGTACTAATGTGGGGTAATTCTATTCAGACATTATTTTTTGGCTTTGTCAATTTTTCAACTTGAAAATAGAGTAGGCAGCATTTGAAGAGTTGTTTTATTGCCTCATGAGCTGAGAGGTGAACGGTCTTCGTGAGAGGGGAACATGGTTGTTTTTCAGGAAGCCTGACTTTGCTCAGAGGGATCAGAAGCTTGCCCACCCATCCCACTTCCTGGAGGACTGTTAATGCAAGCTAATCAGATGTTCAGTTTGGGGTTTTTGCCCAGCAGACAGTGGGGAGGGAAACCAGGGATCAGCCTTAAAGGAGCAGGCTGCTTGCAAAGGGAGGGCCTAATTATTTTAGTTTGGGGAATTTAAAAAAATCGTCTGTTAAAAAAAAGCAGTACACACACATACACACGTGCGCGCACACACACATTCAGTATGGTGCTTCTCCATGTTGAAACTACCCTTCAGCCTATTCTAATTTCTCATTATTATGCATATACTTATACATATGCAAATACATATCTATATATATGCCTTGTTTCTAGATGAGGAACTAGGAAGGAATAATGACTTTTCCCCTATCAGAAGTTTAATCCAAGCCGGGCTCAGTGCTGAGATGAGTGGATTGCCTGAACCCGCGGGTTCGAGACCTGCCTGGGCAACTTGGTAAGACCTCATCTCTACAATAAATCAAAAAAAAAAAAAAAAACTAGCCGGGCATGGTAGCGTGCACCTGTAGTTCCAGCTACTTGGAAGGCTGAGGCAGAAGGATCGCTGGAGCCCAGCAGGTCGAGGCTGCGGTGGCTGGAAGTGGCCACTGCACTCCAGTCTGGGTGACAGAGTGAGACTCCAACTCAAAAAAAAAAAGAAGAAGTTTAATCCACCTAGTGTTCCTCAGTCCTCTGCATCATCCTTAAAAACAAAACAGGGAACTTACCCCAGCTACTTGGGAGACTGAGGAGGGAGGATCACTCGAGGAGGAGTTCAAGATCAGCCTGGGCTATATAGACTCTTTCTCTTTCAGTCTGTCTTTCTTTTATAATAGACTCCATCTCTTTAAAAAATAGAGGGAAAAAAAAAACCCTAAACATCAGATAGTGCCACATGCAAATATTAAGGAGGAACACAGAAGAGTGGCAAATTTACCTAGTGGTAAATTCATGCCTTTCAAGCAGGAGTTGAAATAAGGCTTTTTGTAATAAGGAAAACTTGGCCCTTGTTAGGAATTCCAAATGCATGATCAAACCTCACTGACCTGCCTTTAGTCCCTGCTGTGCATCAGGCACTGTGCTAGGCAACATGCAAGCCTCTTCCAGTCTACTTTCCAATAATTCGTAGTCTATTATTGGAACCAGGTGAACAAATGATTTATACTCTGGCGTGGTGATGACAGAGGCACAATAAATAGACAAAACACAAAGATGACACAGCCTGCTTTGTTACTGGTCTCGGAGGGGCAGAAGTCTCATTGAGCACTAGGAATGGTGGCGTCCTGGAGAGTGGATACTTAATTTCCATAGAAACATATGTATTCAGTCTGTGCTCCCTGGCTTCTTTCAATCTATCCCCCACTTCCACCCAAGAAATCCTTGCAACAACCAGCTGTGAGTGAGCTAGTTAGGAAGCACTTCCTGGAAGTAGTGGTCTCTGAGCTCGGTTAGGCTAAACAAGTATGCCAAGAAGGGTTTCTAGCAGCAGTGGGTGAAAGAAGAATGGAGAGTGGGAATGAAGGGTATTATATTGATTCCATACCTGTTAGATGGTGTTTAAATCCTGGATTCTTTTTCCTACCCTGAGTAGGTCGAGTTTCCAAGTCATGTCCTTTACCTTGGGTCATTGGTTTCTTAACTCAGTAGCCCCTTTTTGTGATAACCCGTCTATAACACCTTAGTACTATGTTGAAATAAAGTTCAGAAATAATAAACGTTCCCTCCACAAATACATGTTTAATTTAATATGATAACGTAACTGTAATGTAAAGAAAAAATAAATGTGAAACAAAACAGCATGTATTTCAATCCGTAACTACTTGGACAGGACTACAGGAAAGGTCATCAAATATGTGTTCATATTCATTCATAAATCACCTCAAGAGAGACACTCACATATGCAGACTGTTGCCAGGTATATGGTGTTGCAGACTCCAGCACCCTCAACATTGACTCAAGCTTCAACCTCCAATAAACCCCCACGAAATCTGAAAGTGCATCCATTCCTCTTTTCATAGTTGCACTACACTCCTGGAAATTCAGCAAGTATTAAAACTGTGTGTGTATGTAATACACAGTTGGCTAGGCTCTAGGCTTAAATAATTACACACAGGTTTTCCAACCCTGAGAACGTCCAGTGAGGCGATCTCTGTTGAGCAAGACTTTGCCTGCATTGCAAGAGATCTCCCATCCCTGACCCCCGCCAGCAATCATCATGACAATCTAAAAAAGCCCCCGTAAATTTTCAAATTTCCCTCTAAGTTCCACTGCCTTAGATGATTCAGCTTGGAAGTTAGGCTCTTCCTGTGGTTTGGGGACTTGAAAACAGGCATCCAGCAATTATTTTCAAGGTCTTGTTGCTTTATCCCTGATGACATTTCTGGCCATCGGCTTTGTGGATGACTTTAGTGCAGCAATGTCATTTAACACTAGAAACTCTATGTTACTGACTGAGTCCTGGAGAAGGGATCTTTAATTTCCATTAAAACATGAATTTCATCTGTACCTTGTGCTTTTCTTGGTCTTAGCCCACTCTGAGCTGCTCTTATTAAGAGACAACAGGATTATTCTATAATTTTCATTTTGCCTTTTGCTTTTTGTTTTCTATAGTGGTTTTTTAAAGTAATGTCATTCTGTTTCCTTATTATCTAATGCCCAGACGTCATTTAATAAGGCAAAATATGAGGGGTCCTTTAGCAAAGCTGATACCATCTAGAACATTTGTTTGTTGTGATTCATTTTTTTTAGGGTGATCACTACTTTGTTGTTATTAAATAAGAAAGAAAAAGAAAGAGAGAAGAGAGAGAAAGAACGAGAGAGAGAGAGAGAGAGAGAGAGAGAAAGAAAAGGAAAGAAACAAACAGCTGGTGTTTAACGACTCTGTCAGACCCAATTATAAAACATCAACTAGTTACTTTGATTTGTGTACATCCATGCCATGGGTATACTTAAAAACATTAGGCTGTGCCAGAACTCATTTTGACTTTGTTTACATTTATATTTTAAACGTATAAGACTATTGATGGCACCTCACCAAGGTTATATCCCCTTTATAATCATTAATTTTTAATCTGTAAGAGAGTCTTGGAGGCAGCAAGACTCATCTATATTTTCTTGGATGCTCAAATGAAAATATACAGGACTTAAACGTTGGCTAAAATAGCCCAGGAAAGCCCCGTCAAAGGTTAGGAATGTGGTATCTTTCTGTTTCCAAAAGCAGCAGCCCTTTACTTAAGATGCTTTTCCATTTAATTTAATTATCTTTGAACTTCCTGCTGAAGGTTTTGAAAAATATATGTTAGGGGCAGGGGAGTTCAGTGTGTTAAGACTGCTACATATATGTGTGTGGGTTTGTAGTAAAGTCTATCTTTGTGCCAGTGGGTTTGTGCTATTTAATCACCATTGTCCATTTCTGAGTTTGACTTTGTTCTAAGGTATGCAGGATTGTGTTTTCAGTGGCCTTTACCTACTTTCCTCAGATTTGTAATAAAAAAATAAATAGCTGCTTTGAAAGTCCGAGCCTGGTTGCTTCATGTCATATTTCCTGTTTTTGTTTTTTTCTTAGATTTATAGATATCAATGATTCCTCGGGAAAACTTGACTTTAGTCGTCTTTCCCCATCAGAAAATGACTACTGGGCTATGCTGGCTTACAACAGGTCCAAGCTCTGTAACATCCTCTTCTCCAACGAGCTACATCGGCGCCTCTCCCCACGTGGGGTCACGTCGAATGCAGTGCATCCTGGAAATATGATGTACTCCTCCCTTCACCGCAGCTGGTGGGTGTGCACACTGCTATTCACCTTGGCGAGGCCGTTCACCAAGTCGATGGTGAGTGAACGTCTTTCAGTGAGGCCAACAGTTCCATTGTGCCTCTCAGGGTGGGTCCTGGAGAAAACCACGCATGTCGCGTCTACTCCGTCCTCTCCCCTCTTGTAAGGCTGAGTCTGGTCTTGATGATAATGACATCATCTGACATATGAAGGCCATTGGAAAGGGCTCTTGAACACCTTTCCATTGACTTGAGGGGAAATCTGTTTTCTAAAGGTGTCTCGGAGAGCTGGATGGAAGATGTGGCTTTTCAATATTGTATTAAGTATGGTGGAAAGTCTTGGTGGAAACAATAATTTGTTTTCTTTTGATGTGAGTTTTTCTGATTCAGAAACTTTGAAAATCTATTTTGTTGAGCGCAGCACTTGAAAATTGTGTTTTTGTGTCAGTAGGTGAGAAACATAGATTTGTGACTGTTGCGTTATCAGCAGATGCGATTCCTTTGTTTTCATTGAGAATCTGTATCTGAGGTTCTAAATTCTCCTTTGATGGGTGTAAACCTCTCTTGGAGAATCTTTTGAGGCCGGAAGTGTGCTTTATTCTTTACTTCCCTGAAGACAAATCCTTTTGGATGAGGCACGCTCCTGTGGTTAGATTTGGAAATGTCCACAAAGGTGAACATGAAGTTTTTATATTGTAGGTTGTCGTTTATCAACCATATTGGGAAACTTTTACGAAAGCATCTTAGTAGAAGTAATGAAGAATGTACATTTTATATATTTGAATGAAGAATGTACATTTTATATATTTGTATAAATATAGTTAGTAGATTATTTTTCTAATCCATAGACCTTCAACAATATTTGCCTATTATGATGGACACCAGTATTCCAGTTGCCCAAATGTAACATCTGCACCACAAAAATTACCCTTTTTCCAAATCTTCAGAAATAACACAAAGCAAGCCATCATGCTCCAACCTATCTCATAGGCTTGGAATGCTGTCTGCCACCTATCCCTGCATTCATTCCCACCTACCATCCTTAACCTTCATGTTTGCAAATGACTTTTAAGACTACATCAAAAATCTTTTGAATTTAGGAGAAAATAAGTAAGTATTATTCTAATCACACAAATGATGTTTATGCAAAATAAACAGACCTAGTCCAAGAGCTGAATTCTTAAGATCAGAGGAATTAGAGTGAAAGGACCTATGGAGAGTGGTTCTCTATGCCACAAGGTAGACTTGATATCTGGAAGGTAAAGGGGTGAAACCTACCCGCATGTGGATCACAGGGATTAGAAGATCTCTCATCACTTCGTTCTTGATGATTGCGTTAGAGTAGCCTTTCCACAAGGGCTTCTTTGACCCTTGTAGAGATTATGATTATGCCTCATACTCTGTTAAGTTCTTCCATTTATGTGAAAAGAAAGAATATGGGTCTGAACAGGATGCCCATACCACTTAAATGAGTTGTTCAAATTTAGTAAGGGAGAAAGGAGAGAGGTTCATTCTTTCTTATTTTCTGCTGGCCCAGTGCCTTGAGGACCAACAAGGCCAATCATCAAACACAATTTATCATCTTTGGGTCTTGAGTCATCCTATATTTTTTCATTGGTGGGTGTTAAGAATTTTTTCTATAGCATAAGGGAGTTTTGTTTTCTTCTTCTGGAATGTCTCTAATCAGAAGAATACAACGGGAAAGATTTGGAGGGTGGTCTGAGACACTACAGAATGTAATGGAATGTGATGTAACCATCTCTTTATTTGTTATGGACTCCAGTGGAGGGGGAGGATTATTGGCAAAGTAGGGAGGGTATCTTGGTGGAGAGAGCCTGATTTGGTGGTCTCCAGTCTTCACATTTTGTTCTTGAGGAAGTCATAGAAGTGTGGACTTTTCTTGTTCCTGTTCCTAAGCGATTGAAAAATAGTACCTTTTATGTGCCACAAACAGATGTTTTAAGATAAGCATAAAAGATTAGAAAGACTATGGAGTCTGTAGCTAAATTTAGATTCTAATGCTATCTGTATATATTTAAATGTTTGATAGTGCTTTATAATCATATATGAGGAGGTGGAATGGAGACTCTGAACTTACTCATCTGACTTATAGACAATCACTTCTGTCTCATAAACATTAAGGATTCTGTGTATTTAGGAGAGGAAAGAGAACTGGTATAGACCTAAGATGGTAAATTTTACTAGTAGGATAGAGTGGACTGATTAGAAAAGCTGCCCTCATGTGCCGTACTCTGCATGTCTTGACATTTCTACCATCATGATAAGGCATTTCTTTCTCGGACAAAGGGTGCACTTCTGCCATTTTAATGCAGACATATTTTTGGACATAAACCACAAAGTTGCATAACCAATCCCACCCCATGAAAAGGTTGGATTTCTAAAGGCTGAAGGAGCTTAGCCTAGGTGCTGTCTCTCTACCCACAGATGACTAATGCTGTTTGTGCTTCATAGCTCCTTCTTCCTTTCACCTTAGAGAAAGTGTTTTCCTTCTGACATGATGTTGCAAGAGTGCACATTCCATATGTGAGGTCAAGGGTACCAGAAATACAACCTAGTCTTGTGCTCGGAAGGCCTGCCTTCATTTCTCTACTGTAGCTGGCTCCCTTAAGTATTAAACAGCAGTATTCTAATATCAACGTCCCTTTTTTATTTGCTGTGACTTGCTGTGACTACGGTGATTTTAGTTACAGTAATTAGGTCACCCTTCATGGAGTCAGGCTATTTTAAGTGTCTCTTTAAGGACTATTGTTGCAGATCAGTAATTTTACAATTGGATGTTCTTGTGCAACTTTATTAAATGTAATCTGTCTTTTAAATGTTGCCCTTTTACAGTTATACATTTCTAATTGTTGCTGTAAATGCATTATCACTTTGAAATTAATTAATTTTTCCATTTTGGCCGCCTGCAGTATAATAATCACTAATGAGAAACTCATAGGGATCAGTTCTCAGCACAGTGACCCCTACTGGTGAATCCACGTCTCTGCCATCCTCTTTCTCTTGCGATTCAGTGACCTGGACAAGTGTATTAGACAGTCATGAAGGACAAGTGTTTGTCTTTGCTCCCTCCAAATTATAATAAAATAAAAATAACAGAAAAAAAGAAAACGATTATTTTTAAGTGTTGCTACAAAGCAGATGCAGTGTTCTTCAAACAGCTGCTTCTCAAAACAGCTTCAAGGAAACTAAAGTTTGCTGAGCACTTTCTAATAATGAAATCGCATCATGCATGCATGATATATTTATTTTCCCATCTCTCTAGCTTTCTTTTATGCAATTAAATTACTCCAAGTTACATTTTGCACATGCATGCATTCATATGTATTGTATGTTAGAGCATGTATATTTATACATATTTTTTTCTCGATGGGTTTCAATTCACAAAACCAGGCATTGTATTATCTGGTAATAGAAGAGTTTTTCAAGGGTAATTTTGACTATTTGCGATTGTTGCTGTGTGATAACTTTAAGATGATACCACATTGCTTAACGTGTCAGCATCCATGTTTTCATTAATTTCTCACAACAGTTCTACAGTCTCCAAATTATTCTGTTTACCTTGCAATTGTGACACATAGAGAGCTCACCTAGCTTGTTCAAGAAAATAGTTTACAGGTCTTCAAAACCTTCACTTACTACTCCCCGGTCCATTTACTTTACCAATGCACCATAGTGCTCCTGCACTATATTTATATCTAGCTGTGTAGTTGTGTTTCCTTTTAAACATGTTTGACAGCTCCTTCATGAAATTAACCCTCCCCCTCACCCCCTTTTTTCCACATAAGCTTTCAGTTCTGGTACACATCTTTGCCAGAGTTCCTAGGTCTAAGCCAGCTCTTTGTGGATCAGTATGTAAATTTGAAGCTGAGCACCGTCACGTGCTTCTTAGGGTGTTTTGTGCAACCAAATATTTGTGTTGGCAGGTAACAGTAGAAAGACTATCGTGTGCTAGGGTAGCAAGAGCTTAGCAGATGTTTTAGGGAACTGCATTTTCAAATCATTTTACATTAAAAAATGGCTTGAGTTTATAGAACTTCTGAAACGATTGGGTTACGTTTCCTGTGACCGTGTAAAGCCAGTCATTGTGCTGAGTTTTAACAGATGTGCAGCTACCCTGCTAATGGATGGGCCTGCAACACTGGTTCTGTTGCAAAGTTATAAATTATAACTAGAAAAAGCACAAGATGTCATTCTTCTAACCTTCGTGAAAGCCAAACTGGGTAATTCTGCCCTTGAATAACCCGCTGCAGGGTGATTTATAGTTGTACAATTTAAAACGTAATGAAGGAGATAATAGATGTTGATTTGTTCTTTAAATTAGTATTTTAGAAAAAAATACTTTCCCCCTCCTTCCCCCCCTTAAATATCTGCAGCTGACTACACTATAGATACCATCAAGGACAAAACCCCAGTTTGAATCTTTATTGGTCTATCGGCGTAGCACGTAGCAGGCAAAGGAAGTAGAAAGCAGGGATTTCTTTCTACTGGGAGGAGGAAATATGATTTTCAAAGTGGAAATTTCTGCGTCTTCTTCCCTAATCTAAATATTTTGAGATTCCCGAGTGAGGATTGAATTCTCTGGCTGTCTTGCTCTTGGCAGTCTAGATATGTTAGAAAACCGTACTCAGGCCTCTCTGTGGTTGGGCCACACTTGAGCTTTCCTGCAGCGGTCCCCACAGAAGGACCTGGTGGCTGACTGGGCTCCTCTCCCCACACTGCAGCCACCTTCCTGCAGCCTCAAACATACTTCTTACTGTCCAGGATTATCATCAGTGTTGGTTATTAGTTGTCTCCCAGTTCTGTCCAGAGCTTTAAAGTTTACAGTGTTTACTTAGTCCAGAGGCCAGTGGGTAAGGTAGGTTGGAAAATCTCAAAGGATGTGGAACCATTAGGCTTCTATTCAAAACTCAGCCCCCACCCCCTGGTCTCTTAGTTATATAATTTTAGAATGATTTGGCCTTTCTGATGTTAATTTTCTACATCAGCTTAGATACTTTGGGCCACCAGTTGTTAACACCCACTTAAAAGTGGTTGGAATAATAGAGTAGCTGGGACTACTAGTAGTTGGTTTTCTCATATATCCAGAGGAGCTGAAGCCGCCAGGGGTGTGTTTGGCTACTATATGGGCAGCTCCTTTGTAATTGTC